CACATGCATTTGTGAACAGAAAACTGCAGCTTTGCCTGCATTTTGCGTGGTCCCGTGCTCCTGGTCGATTCTTCAGCTTTCTCCGCATTCCCCCCCGCCCTCGGCTCAACCGTCGATCACGTGCATTACATCATCACATTTCATATCGATAGGGCTGATGACTAACCAACTATTGTTAGGTCTGGCGTATCAACCGTGAACGTGCTGTTGACTACCTCAATACTCGTAACCGCATCTATGTTATCGATGGTTATGCCGGCTGGGATGAGAGATACCGCATCAGCGTCCGTGTCGTCTGCGCACGCGCCTACCATGCTCTCTTCATGCGCAACATGCTGATCCGCCCCTCCCGCGAGGAGTTGGAGCACTTCCACCCTGACTACGTTATCTACAACGCCGGTTCTTTCCCCGCCAACCGTTTCACAGAGGGCATGACCTCAGCTACGTCGGTAGCTATCAACTTCGCCGAGAAGGAGATGGTTATCCTGGGTACCGAGTACGCCGGTGAGATGAAGAAGGGTGTTTTCACCATTCTCTTTTACGAAATGCCCGTGAAGCACAATGTCCTGACCCTGCACTCCTCGGCTAACGAGGGTGAGAACGGCGATGTGACCGTCTTCTTCGGTCTGTCCGGCACTGGCAAGACCACTCTGTCTGCTGACCCCAAGCGTGCACTGATTGGTGATGATGAGCACTGCTGGACTGACCGCGGTATCTTCAACATCGAGGGTGGTTGCTACGCCAAGTGCATTGGCCTCTCCGCCGAGAAGGAGCCCGATATTTTCAACGCCATCCGCTTCGGATCCGTGCTCGAGAACGTCGTCTTCGACCCTGTTAGCCGTGTTGTCAACTACGATGATTCCACCCTCACTGAGAACACCCGCTGCGCCTACCCCATTGAGTACATCGAGAACGCCAAGATCCCCTGCATTGCGGACAAGCACCCCTCCAACATCATCCTCCTCACCTGCGATGCCCGCGGTGTCCTGCCTCCCATTTCCAAGCTCACCACCGAGCAGACCATGTTCCACTTCATCTCGGGTTACACCTCCAAGATGGCCGGTACTGAAGACGGTGTGACCGAGCCCCAGGCCACCTTCTCGTCTTGCTTCGCCCAGCCCTTCCTCGCTCTGCACCCCATGCGCTACGCCCGCATGCTCGCTGACAAGATCTCCGAGCACAAGACCAACGCCTGGCTGCTGAACACCGGTTGGGTTGGTGCCGGCGCCACTACTGGGGGAAAACGTTGCCCTCTCAAGTACACCCGTGCCATCCTGGACGCCATCCACAGCGGTGAACTCGCCAACGTGGAGTACGAGACCTACGATGTGTTCAACCTCCACGTGCCCAAGACCTGCCCTGGTGTGCCCTCTGAGCTGCTGAACCCCAAGAACAGCTGGACCGCCTCGACAAGCTTCACCGACGAGGTCAACAAGCTGGCCAAGCTGTTCAACGAGAACTTCTCCAAGTACGCAGACGAAGCCACCAAGGAGGTTATTGCGGCTGGCCCCGTTCCCTCCGAGTAGATTGTTTGACCTCATTTCCTTTGTTTTGCTTTGTCAATACATTGCATGGCGTGCTGCGTTTCTTTTTCTGGGACATGAATTGGCTCTGATCATGTGTGCGCTTGCAAGACGCAAGCCGGGTACTCAAACCATTTTGCTATTTCCTTTTCGCCCTGATTGCTATCATTGGCTTCCTCCTTGGGGAGATTATACCTTTATCGTACTATCTAGAATGCAAAAGTTGAGTTCAACGAGTTGGCATTGTAACCGGTGCAGCGTAGCTGTAGTCGAAAAAGAGGTCCAGGTAGTGGAGAAGTTCTCTAATAAATAACGCACAGGAGCACTGTAGTCCGGCTGCCAGCAAAACACTGACGCTTCGGGGTATTGGCGATTTTCCCCACTGATATTACGGTCTGGTCTACCTTACGGAGTGGCGTACCGATTGAGCATCCCATGCATACTGGGAGAGTATCTAGCAGTCTAGAACGTAGGGACGGGCTGTCCAGTCCTCCTTACCTAAAGCAAAGAAACCACAGTAAGCTAACTTGACCTTGAGCAACTCCTTGCCAGTCATAAGTAACCGTGCTACCTACCTACGCAACACGTACACGAGTAACGAGTCCTTGCGTCTTACAATAAGTCCGCATAGATGACAACCCCTACAGCGCTGATCGGCCATTCGCTGATTCGTCCTTCCCGCGTCTGAACTAGACTAGTCGCGTGGAGGTAAACATCTATCGAGCTGTCAGCTTCCGTCAACCGGGACAGTAAGTTGTAAGTTGGTTAACTACCGAATTGAATTCCGCTTGTTTTCCCGTGTTCCTTTCCCGGGTCGTTTGCGTCCCGGCTCCCCCTGATAATAGCGCTTACGAGATAGTTGGGCTTGCTGTGTTGCTCTCTACGGTGGACTCCGTGGGTTGTGCTGGCAGTGAGACTTGCCGGGTGTGTTTCCGCTGGGTACGATAGATGGTGGGTTGAGTGGGTTGGGAAAAGGGGGATTTTGGTAGGTGGTCATTCTAGATGATATCCGACTGACCAAGCTAAGGTGATGCGATATGGCTGTTTGGTGTTGAGTTGGATGGAGGCTACTGTACGACGAATAGAAGCGTATACTCGTATAGATGTTGGGCAGTGATGCTGTACGTTGCTATATACTCGGAGAACGACATTGACTCCGGATCTAGTGGTCTCGTATTTGCCTAACCGTGTGTTTCGACCAGCAGTTCAGTGTCTGTATCTCATGCCATTCATTTGGCCAACCGACTGACGATGTGCCTGAACTGCTGATGGTTCTATCTCAAATCGAAAGTGCCGGAATTCGGAGGAGCCACCGGAGCACAGCACTCCTGATGCTTCGTGTGGATGGAATAACAATATGCCTTCAGGGGAAGATATGATGTTTGGCGTCATATGGATAGCTAGATTGGTGTATTGATAGCGTTGCATGCATTTGCTCGGTTGCTGTTTGATATCAAACTGTAGTTATTCCCAACCCGCAATTGGGTCCCGGGATTTCCTCCAAACCTGACGGAAAAATGTACTTCAGATCCTCAACTAGCAGTGCTCCAGAAGTTGGACTGCTGAATAGACCGCTAGACCACATCCTCCCTAGCTGAAGCCCAGGCAGTGGGATAGCCGATCTGGATCGCATCAACGGAGGCTGGCTACGGCCAACGGTAACACATAGTATGAGTTCCCCGTGGGTCGTGGGGAGCGGACCCGTCCGTCAAGCTGATTGACCTGACAAGATTAGCGCCAGCAAAAATATTCATCCTTGCAGTGAGATAGCCGGAGCGTTGGCCCTGTTATCCTCGGGATATCGGACAGAGGGAGGCGTATACCGTTTGGACCGTCCGAGGCTCACTCGCTCGGGAATCAGGAGTATTCTCAATGATATTGCGCGAAGCCTCTGACCCTTTGCTTAAGTTGTCGTTGTCTCAGCCGTGCTAGCTATCCTGCACCTATTATTAAGCACTCTGTCCTGAACACGGTAGTCCGTAGTCCATCCAGCAACCGGCTATCGGGATGCGTCGGGAAACAACACGGGTTCCCGGGTGGTTCTCGTGAAACCGAAAGCGGAATAGTGTACTTCCCTTAGGCAGGTTTGTGGGTCACACTGGTCTGACCACCGTCATACTGTAAGATTACCCGCGCCCCGCTCAGGTCCATGACGTGGAGTGTAGGTGTCGGCTGCATACTGAGTTTCAGTAGACTCTGTAGACTGCAACGTGGATGGATTGGGAAATTGCCTGTCTGATCTGATCTGAATGAGAACAGTTTTTCCATTGATTTTATACAGGCTGTGAGCAAAAATCTTGTAGAATGCGATGAGGATGCGATGATAGTGTGATCCCAGAACTACAAGCTATACCTTACCCCGCATTCTACAAGTTCGCTGCAGGCGTCATGCTGCAGCTTAGTTACAGTCTACAAGATGTCCAAGACAATAATAGACAAAGGGTACCAACTAGATACTTGGCTAGAGTGGTCGTAGACTACCCGCGGCCTTAGTGGTGTGACATGAGCTGTAATGATCGAATCAGAAACGTGCTGATACTACACTCTCCATGGCAATACAGGATAGCATCCTTGGTATCCACGATCAAGCCAGAAGATGTGGAGATGCCTTTCTAGCGAAGATCGCAGCAATTCCTCCAGAAATCATTTGGACTGTTCGCAGAGATAGGTATCATAGCCATAGCGATAGCCATTCCATAGCCATATATATGCCTATACCTCCAACCCGTGTCTATCTTCCGTGCCTTTTCGAAGCTCTCAGACCTCCCCTTCTCACGTTCTGTCTCTGTGGACGTACATCGGTTGTTCGGAACCGTTTTTCGGTTTCTATGACTTGACAGATATAATACATACTCTTGCTCTCGACTCCCCTACTACTTGAATAAATTCAGTATCCTCTTGACTTCCTCCATCATCAGGAACAAGGCAATCTCGCAGTTAGTCGGGTAACCTCGCTATCATCTGACTCGTGACTCCCGGGAAGCTTCTTCGAGCTCTTCTCCTTCCCCTCAGTCACCCCAAACTCTCCACTGGGTCTTGCCCAACAAGCTGCTTGGACATTTTATCCACTATTGCTTCCCCTCTTCTGCTCTCCCTGTTTATTCTCGTCAAACTTCCGATCTCCAACTCCGTTTGCTGGTTCGTGTCTTCTATATACAACAGCTGTAGCTTCTGCTCGTGGTGAGTGTATCATCTACTTGTTCCTTGGGTGGAGTATACGTCATCTGTGAGACAATCCCCTCTCCTCGCAGACGCTGTCGCACTGTAAATCATATCCTGCTGGGGCTAAGTTCACCGTCTAACATCAAATTTGCATAGATTATATACTCGTTCGCTAGATTCCTGGTCAGTGGACTACTTTCTAGCAATACCCTCTCTGTCTTGCTATCTTATCAAAAACTATCGCAACGGCTGCCAGACCAACGAACTAACTGGTTTCTATCACAGCTTTGGTGCGAACCTCGCTTTACCATCAACATGGCCACCAGTACTGTCAAGGAGCCCGCTCCGCAACCATCTGTGGATTTCTTGCACCGTCCGTACACACGCGCCGCGCTGCCCTTCGTCAATGGTGGTCTCGCCGGCATGACTGCGACGGTCGTCATTCAGCCCATCGACATGATCAAGGTCCGCTTGCAACTGGCTGGTGAGGGTGTTCGTACTGGTCCTCGTCCCTCTGCATTTGGCGTTGCGCGCGACATCATTGCCTCCGGAAAAGTCCTCGACCTTTACACCGGTCTGTCAGCTGGTTTGCTGCGACAGGCAGTCTACACCACTGCCCGTCTGGGTTTCTTTGACACCTTCAGCAAGACCCTTAACAAGCGTGCTGAAGCGGCCGGTACGAAGGTCGGATTCGCCGAGCGCGCAGGAGCCGGCTTGGCTGCTGGTGGTATTGCCGCCATGATTGGAAATCCTGCAGATCTGGCCCTCGTCCGTATGCAGTCCGATGGTCTGAAACCACCAGAGGCCCGTGCCAACTACCGTTCCGTCGTTGACGCTTTGTTCCGTATCTCGAAGCACGAGGGTGTCACCGCTCTGTGGGCAGGTGCTTTCCCGACCGTGGTGCGTGCCATGGCCCTCAACCTGGGTCAATTGGCCTTCTTCGCCGAATCGAAGGCGCAGTTGAAAGCGCGTACGCAGCTCTCCACCCAGACCCAAACCTTCGCCGCTTCAGCCATCGCCGGTTTCTTTGCCAGTTTCCTTTCGTTACCCTTCGACTTCGTCAAGACTCGACTGCAGAAGCAACAAAAGGACCCCAAGACTGGCCAGCTTCCGTACAAGGGTCTGTTCGACTGCGCTCGTAAGGTTGCTCGTGAGGAGGGTTGGTTGAGGTTCTACCGCGGATTTGGCACTTACTATGTGCGGATCGCGCCCCATGCGTTAGTTTCCCCACTCCGCCTCGCTAATATCAGCCATCATTTCTCGCTAACCCCACTGATCGACTCTAGTATGGTGACGCTTATCGTGGCTGATTATCTCAACCTCATCACCAAGTAAAGCAATCGGCTCCTTTTCGACAGCTCAGTGGCTGTGCTACTGAGGTCTTAAGACTCGTTGTCTTCGCCAAGTCGCGGGGTCTGATAGTTATGATCCGACTCAATCGGCGAAATTATTGTGAAACGCGGCTTCCAGGCAGACGATATATCGTCATCTGGCCAGTTCTTATCCTATCTTTATGCGATTATTCGTCAGAGATGCTTGACCGGAAAATACGCCAAGGGTGGTGTTCGCAGTCAGGCACAGACGACACCATTCCTTGATGTAATTGGGAGAGCATGGTCGACAAAAGTGGGTTCTCTTACTTTGACAACACAGGCACAACTTTGTCATAGTGGTGTTTTATTCATCGTCGTTGTATACCTTGTGGGACTATACGTGACGATCAACTGGTCTATGTTTGTTCCAAGCCCCCGCGCCTCATGTCTAATCATTTGCATGACAGGCTTTTCGGCTATCTTATGAGATGCAATGGAGAGAGTTGCAATTTGCGCACGCTCTCTTGTCTTCTTTGCTTTGTTCTGCATGTACCTTATTTATATACCCCATGGCACGTCGCAGGACTGTTGCCTCGGCGCATTGTGGTTGCAAGGTGTCCTCGTATTTATGCGTTATGCCTTCCAAGTCTCAATATCATTCAAAAAAGGGTTACGCGCACTATCGTAGAACCGGCGAAGAGATATAGGTAGATCATACTGATGACTACTCAACGTTAAGAGTAAGCCATGGAGCTACTCGTCATCATCCACTTCATCTGACAGCGCACCTTGAGCCTGCGACAATCTTTCCTGCTTGATCCGAATAGCAGCATCGGTTGGCTCCTGATACGTGGTACCCCCCTCTTCCGAGTCATCATCGCTTGCAACAGTGATACCACTCTTGCGCCCTTCCCGAGGTCGCCTCCGGGGGTTCCCATGAGCATCCAGCTCGTCATCCTCCGCTTCCCGCTGTGATGCTGCTTCGGCGCGACGCACTCTGCGCAGCAGGACAGGATCACTGCGCAGATCTTCGGCGGTCAACACAATTGAGCAGACAGGACACTTGACGCAGCGAATACGATTTCTCCGGCCGCGTGACGGCGGCCCAGGGACGGTTGTGGAACTGTGTGCTATCATATCGGTGATGGCCTCGCGCTCGAAACTATGCGGACATTTGGTGCTGGTGACGGGGTCCCGGAAGGGGAGGAGGGTGAGGGGGCATTTGAGAGATATGCGCTCGCGCTCGATGGCGATCTCGTCCGAGTCTGCAGGCGAGGGGCTCCGGCGTTGGCGGGTGCGGCGGGCCGATGTCTGGTCGGTGGTGGAGGTTGTAGTTGCGTGGGGATCTTCCATGTGCGCAAACCAAGTGGAGGCGTGTGGGAGGGGCGGGATGTCGTCGCCGGGGTGTTTGGCGTCGTGAACGATGCGGTAGAAGCCAATGTAGGCATTGTTCGTGGAGTATCTGTATCTGTCAATTCGGCCATTCTTCCTTCGTCCAGCCATAGGCAATGCAGTACGTACCTCTGAGTCAAGGATTGACTTGTCCATCGCGCCGACTCCTCATCCAGCTTCTGATCTAGCCGCCGGCTAGGCGGGATACCCGTCATCTGCGGCTCGGGCGTCGCTTCGTAGTCCTCATCACCCTCTTCTTCGGGGTCCTGATCCCCCTCGTCATCGCCTCGTCTCCGCCTCGTCCGCCGACTCCGCAGTTCCGCAGCCCCAGCCCCAGCACCCGCAATAGTAGCCTCCTCCGCCTCCTTGGCCATATCCGCCAGCACCCCCTTCAAACCCTCAAGCTTCACCTCCGCATCAATCGTCTGCCGCATCCGCGCCTCCAATTCCTCCGTAACACTCTGAACCTGCTCCTCCAACCGCGCAAGCCGGTTTATCTCGTCCCCGTCATCACCATCATCGTCATCCTCGTTGTCATCCTCCCCTTCCTCCTGCTTCGCACCGACCCCCTCCGCACCAGGCGTCTCCCCATTCGCCCTCCTCCGCTTCCGCGCCCTCTCCTTCTGATACCGCACCCGCGCATCCGTAAGCCGCTCGTTGACCTCCCCCGCCGAATCGGTCAGTGTCTCCTCCGCGCGTTGGATGTGTGTCTTCAGCTGCCGCAGGGACGGCGCGTTCAGGAGCGCGATGATCGCATTGTGCCCTGCGGCGTTTAGGGGCGCGATGGGCGGCTCGTAGGCTGGGAGGGGAGGGGTTGAGGCTCGTGAGGGTGCTTGTGTGTGTCTGTTTGCGGTTGTGCTTGTGCGGTCGTTGCGAGATGTGTGTCGGTGGCGTCTTGTGCCGGGAGTTGCTGACATTTTATCTAGTCTTTGGCGGGTGGTCAGTGGTATAGAGGCTGAGCTACTATGACATGATGGTGTATGGTTTAGAGCTTCTCAGGTATGGTCGTTGCAGAGTCGTCGTGCAGGCTTAGTGCCGTCTATGCGATTATTTCTATCGATAAGATCGAGTTCCTACTATTACGAGGGACGCGACGCGCCGGCGCTAGTCCTGTTTAGGATATACTTATTGGTGCTTGAAATTCTGGGCAAAAGTCTCCTTTCTCCATAAAGTGTTATATTTTACAGCTTGCGAATAGAGTATTTAATAGCCTCCCAAAGGTTTGCGAGCTAAGTATGCAGCCCACTAGACCTTGTAGAAACAGAATGCATGATAGAAACCTAGAACAAGTCAGTCATGCCGCAGACAACTCGGTCACAATAGAGTTACTCACTGGCCGCTTCCTTTTCCTCCTCCGTCATGAGTAGTTCGCCAGTGGCTCGATCACGGACACCCATGCGCTCGCTCAAGGGACCCAGCTCCGGATCATCCTTTTCATCGCGCCAAATATCCAGGAACGGCTTGCGGTATTGTAACTCGAGGTTGTAATCCTCCGTAAGACTGCGGAAAATTAGTCTCGCACATCCAAAGCAGTTGTCCAAGACTCACGCTCGAAACGCTTCCCAGGGAACAACGTATTCCGGGACCTCCTCAACGGCCTCTTCCATGAAGTAGCTATACTTCCATCCAAAAGGAGGACGGAAAATACCATCCTCAGGAGTCGTAACAGGAAATCGGACCCGGTAGATCTGGTTCCCCCATTCTACCTTGCCATCATCCTCTTCCACCTCCCCGTCCTCAGGAGCCTCGTCTGTCTTCTCCTTCTTGGCTTGCGATTGCCGCTCCTTCTTCTTCGCATTGATTTCTGATACTCGCGCGCTGATCACGTCTGAGTTCGGGCAAACGCCGAGGAATCGGCCTCCCTTCTTCAGACATCCTGCAACATTGCGCAACATCTGCCTCGCTTTTTCTTCACTTTCAAAGGCGTAATGGATAGTGAACATGGATGCTACCACGTCAAATCCGCCTCCGCCCCACCGTGAGCTCATGACAGATCCCCCTGGGCCCACGTTGGGATCAATGCCAACCTGCTGGACAATGTCGACATCCCCCAGCCATTCTCCGAAGCAGTCCTTGGGTTGAAATTCCGCATGAAAGATGGGATTACGCCGGCCGCGATTACCGCGTCCGGATTTCATCCCATTGTAGCGTTCGCGGGCTTGGACAATTGATACTTCTGCCGGGTCAAGACCGACATACAAATCAACTGGCTGAGGAGCCAGTTGCCATTTCAAAAGATCACCACCCTTGCCACAGCCCAAGTCGATCACAAGAAGTCGCTTCTCCTCTACCGGAGGCACGCCGCCGTCTTCAGCCCAGTCCTTGGTGCCGTTGAACCGCGCAAGAAATTCCTCGTCCGGAGAAAATTTCTGGATAAGGGTACTCTTGATCCAGTTGTTGAAGCTCCGCAGGCCCTTGATCTTACTTTCCGTCTTCCGCCACTCCCTTCCGCGCTGTGGCACTGCGTTGTAGTGCTGACGAACAACATCTGCCAACCCGCGGCCCTGGGAAGCCCGCATCGCCTCTTCAACCTGCGCACGCTCTCTTTCTTCTTGTCTCCGGCGCAAAGTCTCCCGATCTACCAGTCCCATCCGAGCCCCACCACCGGGCCGTTTGCGCTGCCGGGGTTGATCCTCTGGGGTAGGAGACCGTGGAGGTGGAAGGGGTGAGGTAGATCGGTAAGTTGGACCATTGCGATCGGCAGCTGATGCTGTCTCATCTGCATCACGGCGAGAGTACGCCGAAGGAGGCGTTCTACCGCGCTTCCGCAGCTTTTGGTGTCGTTCTTCCATGCGCTTCCGCTTGGACACGGGGCGGTCTGGAGTAGGCTGTGATTTTTCGGACGCATTCTCCTCCGCGGGCACCTTCCTCTTTTTATCACCTTGAGATCCATTCTGATCGGTAGGCGAAGCCACCTGGTCTGGCCGATTCGACTTGTCTGACGGATCCGCTCTGGGCTTGGGTGTCGCCGAACCGGAGGTGTTGTCCATGGTTGTAGTTGATTTATTCGATTGATTCTGCGCCGCAGATGTCAAAGATTGTGTATTCGAAGCCTCCTGCGCTGCGGGATTTACAGGCGACTGTACGTGAGTTGAGATGGAGGGAGGAGTTTGCGTAGTCGATTGTGCTGGCGGTGACTCCGCATATAGTACTTTCGCGGATGCTGTAGTCTTTGGATCAGGGCCAGGATGTTGCTGCCATTTCAAGTAAAGTCAGCGACAAAGTGTTAAAGCTACAGTGAGCTGACCTTGACCTCAGGAATTGAACGACAATGGCTCGCGCAGAATTTGATCAAATTGGACGCCAGAAAAACAGCCCGCAGATTTGACGAGTAAAGCATTCACAGCGAGTATGAACCAGAAAAATTTACTCACCAGATCAGTGGTGTTATTATTTTCCCCAGATGCACCGTAAATCTGCTCCGAAGACGAGAAGCCGGCATGGGGCTGGTCGGAGGCGAGGCGACCCCGGAGAGACCGAGCTTCGTCTCCATCACGCTCCTCCCAACTGTCCCGGGCTGGATCATACATGCTGCCACCGGAGATGCGCCACGCTTATTGATTTTCGTCGTACATGGGATTCTCGAGAGTTTACAAAAATAATTAAGAACATTTTGAAGAGATAAAGGACGAGAAAGAACGCTCTTTCTGCGTGCGATGATGGTCCTGTTCATACTTCTGGTATCCCTGGTTAAGTCTAGCGCCTGCTGTGTTCCCCTTACCGCATCCGGCGCGATCGTCTAGAAGCAGACAGCAAATAATACCTACAGCAAATAATTCATATCAAATGGTATTGAGTTAGATGCGAAACCTCGATTGAATTGATTATGTACAGTGAAGACAGGCTGGGTATATACATGGATAAAATAGAAAGACGAATCAATGGCACCGTGCTTGCATAGCTAATGTTGAGCCGAAAGAAAGATATAGGAAGAAATGCGCAAACGCCAGCAGATCATACGCTCAAGCTGAAGACATGAATCCGACCATCATGGAGCAACCGACTTTTTTCCGTGAGGAGACTTGACGTTCAGCACCTGTCGCATCCGCCGAAGTTTCGCCCACCACTCTCGATCATTGGCCTTCTTTTGTTCCTCGTTCACCTCATCCACTACCGGGAAGTCACCAGAGGGTGTCTCCGAGACAGCACGCAGGGTGTCCATGGAAGCCGATGACCTGACCTGCCGGCGGTGTTTGACTTTGAGTGCTTGAACAAGTAGTTCCCATCCGCTTCTCAGCTCTGCCAGCTTCTCTGTTGCCTTGCCAGTCCCGCTTTGAGCCTTTCCGCTGATCCAAGGGCAATACTCCATATGCTCATTGGCAACATCCAATGCGTCGTAGACCGTGGCATCCCCATTATCCTTCGGCCTGTACATCCACAGGCCCAATCGTCGAAAACATGCACTGCAGCCTACCAAGCCGGCCGTTTCGTTTGAAACTGCATCCCAGCCGAAGACTGCTAGCGCAAAGGCAGTTCTGTCGATAGGCTTCGATGGCCCAAGTGCCACCTGAGAGCTCTCTTCGTGAGTTTCTTCGTTTGACACTTGCTCCTGCAACTGGTCCTGCGACTGGCCCTGCGATTGGTCCTGCTGCTGACGTTGAGACTCTGTGGGGCGCAACCCATCGCCGGTTTCGAAGCTTTCTCGGGGTAATATCTCGAGGACATCATCTAAATTGAATGACTCGGGTGTTTGAATAATATCCTCAGCCGGCAGCTTATCGGCAATTTTTGTAATATTTGAATACCGTTTCTGAAGACTAGCGATTGCCGTATCGGTGTTGGCGAGTGTTAGTCGATGAATCGTAGCTTAATTGATCAGTGATAAATCATAAAAATCGCAGAAACTATGTGCTTGACCAACCATCACAGCCTTTGTTTCTCCAAGGACAATGTTCACCATGCCCTTTGACCAGCAGACTCGCATACTCTTCTACCAGCTTGTCACCTTCGACAGTCAGTTTGACGGTTATTGAAGCCAACAAATGTACCATGCACTTACGGACTTCCTTCCTCTCCTGGACCTTGTCGAGATCATATCCATCCAACTCGTCAAGTTCGTCCGGTAATTTGACAACCACTGAGCCGCCACAGCCACCCACACACGACACCCGCGAAACATCTGTACAGATCCATCCTCGTTTGGCCCATTCAACCTCACTTATTGCAGCCGGTTTCGGAGACCATCGATCGACGCGGCGAAAGGTCTCTAATCTCTCCAAAAAGCGTTCGCGGTCCCACGGGACGAAGCTAGGGCGTGTTGTTGACGAAAGGGAAGAGTCTTTGGAGCTAGCTCGAGCTTTTAGAATCGATCTCCCGACCGCCGCGAAGCCGCTTTCATCTTTATCGCTCAGTCGCACCTTCTTGATGGATAGATCTGCGGGAAGACGCTCGCGAGCTGTTGTTGGAGTTGCGGGGGTCTTTTTGGCAGCGGGTTCAGCGGCCGATGGCTTGGTCAGAGATTCCAGCACTCGATGAAACTTTCGCTTTTTGGTCTCAACCGCGTAGGACATTTCCTGGAGTGGGAGTGAGCTGATTCAGCTTCAGAACGAACTTGAAGGTCTTGAACTATGGAGATCGACCTGCGATGATGATATTATCAGAAAGGGGGCTAAACCCAAGACGGCAATTGTCTTGTTCCTCGTCAACAATGGGTTCCTGGAAAATCCGGTGCGCGCAGTTTCATTACTGGATGGGCAATTGATAAAGAAAATGAGAGTTAATTTGACCTATGTTAAGTGCTGATCATATGGGATCACTTTCATAAGATTCCGATGTAACTAGACAATTGACGAACCCTGTTATGGCTATATTGAAGTATTCCTCATCCGAGTATCGAATCATGCAATACTGATTGGTCCTTCGGCATTTCGGCCATTCCGATCTCCGTCCACAACGATCATTCGAGGGTCTTGAAAGCTCATCTTCCATTCTTCTTCTCAGCTTTGTACAAATAGGGAGTTCAGCATTGACTCTCCCTGCTGTTGGCATCACCATGGCTTCTTTGGGAGGCTCGGTGCCTATGTTCCGGAGCCTCGCGCCCCGGTTCTCCAAGGAATTCTTCACTTGCCGACAATGCCTCGGACGGACCCAGAACTATGCGACTAAATCCGCATTTCGCAAGCAGTTTGCTGGCCTGTTCTTCGGCCAAAAGCCCTCCAATGCAACTGCGAATGCATTCCGCGTGACAGCTACAAATTTTTTCTCGCCTATCCTACGGAGGTCCGTCTCGGGGTCAGCCGTGGCCGGTGCGCTGGAGGATGGAGCTTCTAAAGCCAAGTCCAGCTTTCCCAAAGTGTCTGACAAGATTGTGGCCTACTGGCTGCTGGGGAGTGCGGCCAGTGTATTCGGTATTGTCGTCTTTGGTGGACTTACAAGGTTAACAGAATCAGGGTACGTTCTGCTTTATGCATCCCAATTTGAGCGACACTCGCTGACCATATTCTTGAATAGTTTGAGTATTACAGAATGGCGTCCCGTCACTGGATCCCTCCCTCCCATGAATGCAGAAGACTGGGAGTCTGAGTTTGCAAAGTACCGTGCCTCCCCGGAATATCAGCAGCTGAACCCGAATATGAATCTCTCCGAGTTCAAGTCAATCTACTACATGGAATGGATTCACCGGCTCTGGGGTCGTTTTGTTGGCCTGTCATTTGTGCTTCCGGCTATCTATTTTGTCGCAAGGAAGAAGGTCAGCAAGCCCATGTCGCTACGTCTAGCAGGCATCGCGGGTCTGATCGGCTTCCAAGGCTTCATCGGTTGGTGGATGGTTAAATCCGGACTCAAGGAAGACCTCTTCGCGCAAGGCAGCCACCCCCGCGTGAGTCAGTATCGGTTGACTGCTCATCTTGGGGCTGCCTTTGTCTGCTACACTGCCATGCTCTGGAACGGTCTTGCTATCCTGCGATCTCATCGGCTCCTGGCTGACCCCGAAGCTGGAATAAAGCTCCTGGACTCGCTGCGTGACCCCAAACTGAAGATCTTCCGTCGATCTGTTGCCGGTCTGGCCCTTCTGGTCTTTGCTACTGCCATGTCCGGTGCCCTGGTTGCCGGCCTGGATGCTGGTCTGATCTACAATGAGTTCCCGTTCATGGGTAATGGCCTGGCTCCTCCCAAGTCGGAGTTGCTTGATGAGCGTTATTCACGACACAAAGACCGGTCTGACCTCTGGTGGCGCAACATGCTCGAGAATCCTTCTCTTGTGCAACTGGACCATCGTATCATGGCTATGACCACGTTCACCAGTATTATGGCTCTGTGGGCTTATTCTCGCCGCTCTCCAACCATGAAGCGGTTGCTCCCACCTGCCGCCAGGAAGGGCCTTCACGGTGTGGTTGCATTTGCTTGGGTCCAAGTCGGTCTAGGCATTTCCACCCTCCTCTACCTTGTCCCTACTCCTCTTGCCTCTGCTCATCAAGCAGGCAGTCTCTTCCTTTTGACCTGGGTGCTTGTCTTGGGCAGCCGTATCTGGCACCCGTCTAGGACGGCGAAGTTGCTTCAGATGGCTGCAAAGGCTCGTGGCCAAGCGGTATGCAATGCTACTGCACAAGCCGCCCACAAGCTATGAAACTGCTCTGATCACATGTTTTGAAGGCAAACGATCTGCTCCTGTAGCTTTCGGACTTTAGATTTCCCTGTATACTATGAATACCTCCCCTTTCAAAAATGTACAATATTGTTAGTCCAACGGTTGGAAATAAAGCCATTTGAAGTCTGGAGTCACTCTTTACGGTATTTGTGACAGGCGGGTCCTGTAGACGAAACCCTACAGGCTGCAAGAGGTATTCCCCATCTCTCAACTACTTTACAATTCTTGTTCTGAGAGATCGTCACAATCCGCAGGGCATCCCACTTACTCTTAGTGTCCCACTCGAAGTCTCTGAGAGACCCTCTACATACGCTCGTTGACCGCAGACGGTGATCTCGGGGGACGAGATGGCAAATGCTATCTAGCTGAATTATCGAATAACCCACTGACAATCACCTAGTACCTAAAAGTAATCAGAAGTCGTATCGACCAGCCGGCTTAGGCTCAGCCCTTCGAGTTTTCCGATGAGGTGGTTTCGTCAACATTTGCTTGAGTCCCAGAGAAGGTGCCAATCTCGGGAGCATCCGTCTCTCTGGCCCTGCGCTCAAGATAAGCCTGAAGAGCATGACTGGCTTGTTGTTGGGCATAGTCATGCAATTCTCGACTGGTCATACTCATGAAATTCGCAACGTCCTCGTCTCGATGCGCAGCCCCACCAGGTGAATGTTCCCGGTCAAAGCCATCCTCCTGGATGGCCAAACCGATGGCTTCAATACTAAAGGCCAAAAAGTTCCGAGCTGCGTTCAAGACTTCATCGTCTGCCGCGCTTGGTATCTTTGAAGACGACTCCTCTTTCTTCATTCTCTTGAGATTGCTTGACTGTCTCCTCAACTGGCCTGCGTCATCCGCTTCCCTCTTGACCGTCGCCCTGCCGCGTCTCATACGGGCAATGAGAGTCTGGTCGATAGCCCCTGTATGGACGCGCCCGTTTCCCCGATGCGTGCGACTGCACCCGTTGGCAAGGATACATTTGTAGCATGCCTGCCAGCCGCATCCCTCGCAGCGGGACATGCCCGTTCCATTGCGTGTGTTGCACATGTCGCATTTCGCCGTGTGGCAGGCTATCTCCTTCCATTCGGTCTCGACGGATTGTTCAGATGCAGTGGACGGTGGAGGGGGAGGGGAAGGAGCTCTGGACTGACGGCGTGGCGGATCCCTCCTGCGTCTGACAGAAGAAGTTCTCGCCATTGCTTCTACGCGGCGCAGAATGGTGCCAAACTGTGTGGCGTTTGAAAAGGATATCAGGATGGCTGTTAGCTTGTGTGGAGGGGACTTGGAAAAGAGGCTGGCTTTATTCTTCCCTATGATACAACAGCAGAGAGCAGTGACAGATGACAAAGATTGGGGTCCGTTAGCAAGTACCAGCAGAACTCGAGAATGTGCTCAGAAAGACTATGAACTACACACAATCAGGGTGCCGCTCTGTTGACCGGGGCACGGTTGCGCTCAATAGTGCGGAGCCACTCGTCGTGCACTTCGAGCAGGTCAGGGAATGTTCTTGGCTGGCCCTCCGGCGGATTTTGTCCAGCCTCGATAGCAGCTAGGTAGAAGTCCCACGGGTCTTGTCCATCCCACGGGTCGACTTCCAGCTGTCCTGTGTATTCTTCGTTAGGAGAGTATGGGGGGAGCTCAGGGTCTCCTTGGAGATCCTCTATTGCACTTTCACCTGGCTCGTTGTGATCGCTCTCTGGATGCTGTTCAGAGTTCAGAAGCTGAAAGTACTGGCTGAAGTCACTGTAGATGTCGTTGTCTGCAGGATTCTGCGCTGCCGCTGGCTGATTGCTCTCCGGGCGCCGTTCAGTGCTCACAAACTGAAAGTACTGGCTGAAGTCACTGTAGTTGTTGTCGTCTGCAAGGTTCTGCGCTGGTGCTGGCTGATGGCTCTGTGCACGCAGTTCAGCTCTTCCAGCGTTCATAAGTTGACAGAATTCGTCCAAGGCACGATCGTGGCCGGGGGCGAGTGCTCTCACAACTACAGCGAATTCCTCTAAATCACTATCGTCTTCTCCGTGATTCTGTCCGGAGGGCTCAAAACGAAAGTATGGCGGAGGGTCAACGGCGTCACTCGCGGCAGGAGCCTGCTGTCCAGTTTGACGTGTGATCTGACGTGGGACGCTGTCCTGCTAAATTTGAGCCATATCAGTGACAGAATGTCAAGTCGCGGATGGAAAGAACATAGGTACCACAGGTGGAGCCCTTCGCTCAGGTCGACGAAGACGATTCCAAAAGCGCCTGGAGCGAGTTTCTCCGTTCGAGTTCGAACCACGCGAGAGACCTCTGCTAAGCTCAACTTCCTCGTCGTAAGGATAGGGCGGAGGGGGTCCAGTCGGGGGAGGTGGGATCCGTCCCCTGGCAGAACCGATCGGTTCCCTGACTGAGTACAGGTCGAAATCAGAGCTCTGCTCGCTGGAATAAGGATTCGGGTGTTCGTCGACAGAAAGCATCAGCCAAGGGGCGTCCTCTTCCTGGCGCTGAGTGCGATTGGAACGAGTCTCCCTGATGTCGTGGTCACGCTCCGCCTGCTGACGTTCTCTCTCAAACTGGTAAAGTTCCTCACTGATGGGGTCTTCCTGGGGTTCGTTGCCTCCCTCTGACATGTTGGAGACGACCGCCATTATATGTTATGTCTCTCTGATGAGATGAAGGTTAGGACTGACCCTGAAAGAGAAACAATTCCTTTCACTTGTTTCTTTCTTATAGGAAGATTGCAAAGAGCAAAGAAGAGAGCTGAGGTACCAGAAGGCTACGTGCACCTGGGATGAGAGAATAATAGTGACGCGGGAGGAGGAGAACGCGAGGTGACAAGAAGAACACTGACTCGCGAGGAATTTATCTCGCTTCTTTCTTCAGTGTGTGTGGGCTGTGAGCTGTTGCAGGCCCTTAAGCGAGCATAGTGAATAGTCCCTACACCTTCACATCTGCTTGGAGCAATGTGCTGTCTATGACGTCTGCAGGGGCAAAGGAGAAGCGATTCAGTGTTTGCCTAGAAGGGAGCTATCTTCTATATGTCATACATCAGACAAAGCAGGCTGTAAAGGAAAGGTGTCATAGAGCCATCTGGATGTCGTTGGGACAGAAGCTAGGTCCATCCCCACAAAGCCACAATGTGAGCAATGAATGGAGCTCCCTCAAGAGCCTCCAACTAGGGTTGTCTATATATCAAGGCTCCTGACAACTTCCTGCGTTGGGTCTCTTGCTGGGTTGTCATGACTTGGATTTATCCAGAGTCATCTAGCATGGAGTATCGATTTGCAGGACAAGACATTAAGGACAGCAAGAGCTGCAAAGAACATCTAGGGAATGAGCGTACGAGGATGACGGCAGACGCTGAATCGATCATCGTTGTGGCGATGTGTATACTCCATTGAGTATCTGTAGCGATATCGTGGCGACGAAGTAGATAGCAAAAGATCCGTAGCTTGGGTTTTGGCATTCTTTCGACAGTATCATTGGTATTGACCTCGATATTCGCTTGTTGGTGTCTCATACCCATAAGTATGGAGACGACATGCTTTGAACGCAATGGGAAGAACGGACTCGTAAAATGTAGAGAGACACCTACAAGTCATACTTAGAGCATCACTGTTCAATAAAGCATAGTACGGGGTGCTCGTCTTACATATGTTGTCGAGACACTCACTACCAGTCCATAGTGCGAGATAGGATCTACTGTATGAATTTTATTTCACTCTTAGTGTATCCTCATAGACATTCATATCAAGCATGCAACCATAGTCATCAACGATAGATCCATCATCCAGTTCCAGTATCATGCGATTATTTATGAGCTGTGAGAAACAACCAGTTAGCCATCTCAGTTCGGAGTTCAACTAAATATGATTAGTGCAACTTACGAATTCCCTCCTCGGGCTTGGGCTCAATGCCAGCAACCTCGGCAGCAGTCTTGACCTCTGCCGCTGTCTTGTCTTCCTTCATGAAGGGGAAGGCAAGAACCTCCTTGATGCTGTAGTTGTCCGTGAGGAACATGACCAGACGGTCAATACCCATACCCCAGCCACCGGTAGGAGGCAGACCATACTCCAAACTTGTGCAGAAGTTCTCGTCGATGAGTTGGGCCTCGTCATCACCCTGGTCCTTCTGTCTTGCCTGCTCCTCGAAACGGAGACGCTGGTCGAAGGGGTCGTTCAACTCGGTGTATGCGTTGACGATCTCCTTCTTGCAAACGAAAGCCTCGAAACGCTCGCAGAGACCGGCGTGCTGACGGTGGTACTTGGCAAGGGGAGACATCATCTGGGGGTGGCCAGTGATGAAGGTAGGGTTGACGCAGGTCTCTTCGATGAACTCGCCGACCAGCTTGTCGAGCATACGGGCGTTAGTCAGAGGAGGCGAGCATTCAACGCCAGTCTTCTTAAGCACGCGCTTGAGGAACTCGCCAGTTTCGGCGGTGTGCAGCTGGTCTCCAGGAGGGAACTTTTCGCCAGTGGCCTCCTCCAATGCGGGGATCATCTCTACCCGCCTCCAGGGTGCCTTCCAATTGACGTTGTAGACCTCACCGGACTGAGTGTGGAAGGTGGTCTCATAGCCACCGGTAACGTGCTTGACCAGGCCGGAGATCAGCTCCTCGGTCAGGTTCATGACATCGTAGACATCAGCGTAAGCCCAGTAGAACTCGCAAGTGGTGAACTCGGGGTTGTGGGTCAGATCAATGCCCTCGTTACGGAACTGACGACCAAGCTCATATACACGCTCCAGACCACCGACAATCAGCATCTTCAGGTACAGCTCGGGGGCGACACGCATGAACAGGTTCATGTCAAGATCGTTGTGGTGGGTAATGAAGGGCTTAGCGGTAGCACCACCGGCGATGGCGTTCATCATAGGGGTCTCGACTTCGATGAAGTCCCGGCTATCGAAGAAGTTGCGCACGTAGCTAACAATCTTGGAGCGAGTGACGAAGACATTGCGGGATCTCTCGTTCATGATCAGATCCAGGTAACGTTGGCGGAAGCGCTGCTCCTTGTCCTGGAAACCGTAGTGCTCCGAAGGGATGGCGTGCAAGCAGGGCGCCAGGAGAACGACCTCGGTGGCGAAGATAGAAAGTTCACCGTCGGCGCGGTTCTTGGGGCTGGTACGGCCAGGGAAACCGACGACACCAACGATATCTCCTCTGCGCAGGTGCTCGTGCTGAGCCTCGAAGGCGACATCTCCGGTGGCGTTTTGGGCCTGGCATACAACCTGCACCTTGACACCTTCGGCACGGATATCGTAGAAGAAGAGCTTGGAACCTGAAGACCGCTTGGTGTAGATTCTACCGGCGATACGGACGGTGACATCGGGCTTCTGCTCGCCCTTGGCGAGACCATCGTAGGTCTTGAGGTATTCGCGCAGGTCATCGGTGACCTGGAACTTGTGAGGGTAGGGGTCGGGCTGCTTGGTCTCGCGCAGCTTGTTGATTCGCTTGCTACGGATCTCGAAGTATTGCTAAATTCAAGAGGAAATATTTTAGCAACGAATCCCGACAGCTTCAAGTATCCAGGATTTCAACGAGTGCAAATCAACATACGTTAGGAGTCAAGTTAGCCTCTTCCTCCTCGGCGGAGACCTTCTTCTCAGGCTTAGGAGGGGCATTGGCCTCCTTCTCCTTCTTCTTCGCCTCCCTCTCGCGCAGCTTCTGGCGCTTCTTCAATTCGGTCTTGGAAACTCTCTCGCCCGTGACCTCATCGAGCAAAAGGTTGGCCACGGAGGCCTCAACCTCGTTGACTGCGTTGGAATCCGCCATGTTGAATCAATAGAGCTTTTATCTCTCTCGTTCGCGAAAAACACAGCCAGGAGAAGCCCGATGGCAAGAAATCGAGGAGGAGAGGCGGGTTTGGTGGGTTAGGTAGAGGAGAAATGCCAGAGAATTTTGGGCCTGACTCATGGATCGGCGACTGTCATTGGCTATTGCTTGGAACCTCTACCACCGATAACGGCCATATGGATACTACATCTTTCTACGTTATACAACACATAAACATCCGGGAAAAGCTCACTGCATTTTGAATCACTTTGTTCATTGCATGCCATCAAGTAATTCCTGAAAATGTGATGTTTTCCTCGAATGGGGCTTAGGGCATAGGGCTTTGACGTGGGGCTGGGTTACCCCGCCTTCGATGCTTCCAACCATCCCGCCTTATCACCAGTACGAAGCCAACCTCAACTTCAACCCAAGATCAGCACGATACTGCCTAATCCGGGGGCGTGGGCATCAAAATAAGACATGCATAGCTTAGCATGAAGCTCACACAATACATCGATTTCAGTCCAAGCTCAACAACCAACAAACAGGATCATCAGCCAGCTACCGGTCCGAATCCGGGAAAGCTGGACCAGTCTTCGGGTGGTTGAGACTTAATGGCCGGGTCGAACTCTGCAGAATCCACAGCATCGTCTTCCTTCTTAGCAGTTGCGAGCCATTCCTGAGCCTTGAGGACCTTCTCTTTCTCCTTCAACAAGTATAGTCGGCGTCGCTGGCGTTCGGGATCTTCTGCCATCAACTCCATGCAGCGTTCGACAGCTGGGTTCTGTCAGTTGTTTGCCACTAAAAATTTCGTGGATGGGGAACAGACCATTTCCATCGAAGATGCGTAGTTCGTTCTCAATGACTGTAATCAGTTCTTCACGGCATTTGGAGAAAAGTTTCGTATGTACACTCTGACAGATCGAGTCGATGAACCGGGAACTCGCTATTTCATAGTAGCCACGAGTCGTCTGAGGACTATTAGCAAGATACTTGAACTCGACTTCACCAGCATTGGTAAAACTCACCGCCATCATTTTGAGCTCCTGAACGAATCTGTCAGGGCCGAGCTCCGCAGCAGTGAGTTTCTTAATCTCAGCGTCGCGGCGTGGGTCTCCCCGAGGGATTTTGCCTTGAAGATCGAGAAAGCAGTGCGACCTTGCTTCATGTCGGCGAGCTTTCAGATACTTGTACGCGTTTTCTGTGGCTTGCTCGAGAGCGGAAATTGCCATGGTAAAAGGCTTGTTATGCTCAATATTGTAGTTCTCTTGCGCGTGTCTGAAGTGCTCCTTGCGAAGCGTTTGAAGGTAGTTGTCTATGATTCGTTTCAGTTCCCGGTACAGACTGGTTTGATAGTATGGCGTGAAAACGTCTTTGAGCTGTCTCATCATCATGTCCCTCACCAACTGGTGAGTAGCCCCCAAGAACACTTCCATTGGTTTGTCCCAGTGCTCGACACTGAGCTGGTTCATGACTTCCACGGCTTTGGGGTCCGTCTGGTCGGGAATACCAGCACGATAAGAATCCTCATTGATTTCTCTAATTTCTTCCCAAGTGAACATTCGTGCGGGACGATCAAATCGATTAAAGTGCTCTGTATAGTACCCTGAGGGCTTCGGAGTCGAGGGTTGTTCTGGCTTGGGATCCGCGGGCGTTGGAGTAGGCCTGTCGCATGGGGTCTTGCGTTTCACATTCACGCTCACAGATCGCTGTATTGAGGTCATCTCGCAGTCAGAGTCGGCGTCCTCGCGCGCAATGGGAATGGCCATCTTGTCCGAATGGGCAAGAAGCTGAACAGTCGGCCTGGTTTTCAGCAGAGCTCTTTTGAAATCCCTCGCAATGTTGCCCCATATCTTCTGGAGGGGATACTGAGCTGAGCCGCCGTCAATATGGGCACGGATCTGATCTTTGAGATGGTTCAATTTGCCACAAAGGATGTATGGGACATTTGCTGACGGGGGATCTGGCAGAGTCTGTAACTCTGCTTCGATACGCGCGGCTTTCTCATCGATTTGCTCAACGATCCTAGGCAGACACCCCTGTATCTGCTCCAGAAGGAGACTGGAAAGCGCTGCTTGTAGGTGTCTGGTTCCAAACCTATTCTGATAGGCAGATAGTTCTGTTGCCCAAGGACTCTTTGCAAAGAAGACAGCCTCCTCTTCTCTCGCGCGAGAATGCTCGATGGCCGGGTCAGGATTTGTGCGGACGATATAATATCCATGACCAAGCGCAAATTTGTCTCCTTCCAGAATCTCGACCCACTGATCATACGATTCGCCCGTCTGGATACGATCAGGTTTTGTAAGGACACCGAGAGTTCTTTCTTTGGCGCCACGAACATCCCGCATAATTTTTGCAGCGCTTGAATTCGTGGCGTCGTCGGTCATCGGCAGTGCCAATAACACAATGCAATTTTCCTGCGAGATGTACTCTCTCACGAGGTTCTCCACCAGTGAAACAAGGTAACGCTCATGATCGTGTTCCGCCTGGCTGATGACACCAGGTAGATCGTAGAAGGAGAGATTAGGAAAGTTAGGCGCCGAGATGTCCAGCCGAACCACATTCGGAGAAAACTTCACTTGACAATAAGACTCGTCGGTGTCGCCGTTATGTCCGGGTTGGTAGTCAGTAGAAGGTCTTCCTGGGTTCAAAATGGCAAGCTGGGCCCACTTAATGGCGTCTTGTACATCATCTTTATCTCTCACATCCGTAAAGTGCTCATCTTCCTGGTCTTGTTCGATCCATGGTCCCAGAGGCTGCGACTTCTTGGGGAGTTTAGTGACCTTCCGGGAGCCGTCGAAGATGTATTTTCGTGACAGAAAGATGCGGCAGTTCCAATCCTGACCTGGCTCGCCTTCTGAGAGGTTTATTTCCATGGGGCAGCGAGTGCATGTTCCAGCACTGCGAGGCACCTTTATCTGGCTCATTCCTTCGATTAGGGAGCTTTTGCCGGTACTCTGATCGCCTATGACGCATATTTTCGGGAGAGCAATTCTGCTGTCTTCGATCCCTATGTGACGGAGGTCCTGTATCTTCTTGACAAGACACTTCATGTCCCGCGCAATAAGATTTATTGCGTCTGTTTCGGTGGACGGTAGGCCGGACATGACGACTGGCGTGTTGTTTCCTGTGGCTGCAGCAGGTCAGAGATGAAGACGTGCTTGTGCTCCCTTACTCACCTGTTCCTGTGCTATCTGACATGACGATACTAACAACTGAGGAGAAATGCTTGTCTCCAATGATGTTGTAGCGCGTGGGAGAGGGTGTGGAGGTAGGTGAGAAAGAAAAAGAGAGGTGGTACTGTGTTCACTTTGATAAGCAGATGCACACGCGATCTGCGGAATATGAAAGAAATATTAAGATAACTTCAAAGGGGTAACACTTGGAATGGCAGCTGTTGGGCCTAGCGAATGATGTATGAAGTGAATGGAAGATGAAAGTTTAGTACTGTATAACCAGCACAGATGTCTGGATTTATAGTAAAGTAAGGAGCAAAGTTATTGGAAGAATTGATAGCCATAATGTCTGTACAAAAAAGTTTGGTTGTTGTCGTATGCTTAGGGATCTCATTGTCCAAATGAGTGTATACTGCCCTGCCAAATTTGGTGCGGCATATACAACTTTCTGTTGCCAAGGCGGATGGATCAACAACCATGTCCAACTGCAAAAACCTCACATGTCAAGTTACGGCAGAAGAAGATAAGTGATAGAGTGAAACTTGGTATAATCTTTACTGTGTCCATCAGTTCAAGTGAAGCAGTTTTTAAAAGGCTAAGATTGATGCTGCTGAGCTTCTGCCAGGCAATCACTTGAAGCACGTATTTGACTCCGCAAATGCTAGATATCTTGTCACATTAGCTTATCACATTAACATACGGAATATTACTCGGAGCTTTTTCAAAGGAACATCCATATTTTCAGGGGTACAGGTGCTGATTCCTGGCTGCGAAAGACCTCGAATCTCAGATGGACGAAAGCGGTCAGATGGCTGTCTATGTTGAAGCTCCCCGTGACCCGTGGTTCACCAAATGCGGATCCTTGCTACTCCCGACTTGTTCTAGTCAGCCTAAAGTTAGTGCCTAAGGTAGCAAACGAGGTACCTGTGGTGGGCCTGGAACAGAGTGCGTGGTCATCTGGGGACATCACCAGCAGTCCAAGCATAATACGCAGAATAATTATTATTGTCTTTTCTCCTATTACTACTTGTTAACTTTCAAATCTACTTATCCATACTGCCAGGTACATTATTGCCAATTCTCCCTCAGACTCTGATCACCACAGTCCAATCCGTCATTTCAGCTATTCTCAATGCTTCACGTTCCAGTGCGGGAACATTCAACCCTGGCCTCCACCAAGGCTGTGATCTTGGTAAGTGAAGCAGGGAGAACAGCACCTCGATGTCGCAAATGTTTAGTATGCGGCTAACAATGCTCACGATCAGGTCGGAGGTCCTTCCAGAGGTACTCGGTTCAGACCTTTGTCTCTTGATGTTCCCAAGGTGGGTTACCCCTCCTTACTCTTCCCCTCACTCAGAGAGTGTAGCTAACTCAAGGGTCATTGAAACTCGATCAGCCCCTTTTCGAAGTTGCCGGTCACCCCATTATCAATCACTGCCTCAAGGCTCTTGCCAAAATCTCGGATATCCGAGAAGTCATCCTGGTCGGCTACTACGATGAATCGGTCTTCCGTGATTTCATCAAAGACTCCAGCAAGGAGTTCCCCCAGTTCCGAATTCAATACTTGCGTGAATACACGGCACTTGGCACAGCAGGAGGTCTCTATCATTTCCGTGATGCCATCCTCAAGGGCAAGCCCGAGCGCATTTTCGTCCTGAACGCCGACGTCTGCTGCTCCTTCCCTCTTGGTGAGATGCTGAAGCTGTTCGAGGAGAAGGACGCCGAGGCGGTGATTCTGGGAACCCGGGTCAGCAACGACGCCGCGACCAACTTTGGATGTATTGTCTCCGATGCTCACACCAAGCGCGTGCTGCACTACGTCGAAAAGCCGGAATCGCACATCTCCAACCTCATCAATTGCGGTGTCTACCTCTTTGCTACCGAGTGTATCTTTCCCGCCATCCGCAGTGCCATCAAGCGCCGTACTACCCGGCCTCGTCTCCTCTCATACCCTTCCTCGGAAAACCTGGAGTCCTCCTTCGTTGCCGCCGACGAGGAGACGGAGAAGAGCGAGGTCCTCCGCCTGGAGCAGGACATCCTCTCCGACTTGGCGGACAGCAACCGGTTCTTCGTCCACGAGACCAAGGATTTCTGGCGACAGATCAAGACCGCTGGCTCGGCCGTCCCCGCCAATGCGCTGTACCTGCAAAAGGCCTTCCAGGCGCAATCCGGCGAACTCACCCCTCCCTCCGCCACGATCGTGCCCCCCGTCTACATCCACCCCACCGCAACCGTTGACCCGACCGCCAAGTTGGGCCCCAACGTTTCCATTGGTGCCCGTGTCGTCGTCGGCGCTGGAGCTCGTATCAAGGACTCTATCGTGCTGGAGGATGCAGAGATCAAACACGATGCGTGCGTGATGCACTCGATTATCGGCTGGAGCAGCCGGGTGGGCGCCTGGGCTCGTGTCGAGGGAACCCCCATCCCCATGACGAGCCACTCCACCAGCATTATCAAGCATGGCATCAAGGTGCAGAGCATCACCATCTTGGGTAAGGAGTGTGCTGTCGGCGACGAGGTGCGGGTACAGAACTGTGTGTGTCTGCCATACAAGGAACTCAAGAGGGTATGTTAATTGACTCTTCTGCATTACTTAATGACACTAACATTGTTAAATAGGATGTTGCCAACGAGGTTATTATGTAGTGAGACATTCAAGATGGGCTGTTTTGGATCTATTCGATGGGATATACATATTTCTCGTTACCACTAATCTGTTCGACTCTTCTATCAATACTCTTTACTCCTCTAAGCCATTTTCTTGGACCTTAGACAAAGGTTGACCGTCTGGGCCACGGTGATAATTTTGGTATAATTCGATATCAGACAGATCATGAATGATAAAACGCTCAGTAAGCGATGTTTTGGCTTGCCTTGAATGAAAGCTGGCCGTTCAGTGATATATGTCCCATTGCAGAATGAACCATGTATATATCCAGTCATAACACATCAAAGAATGGTAGAAATCATAAACCCGGCAGTCAGCTACTGCTTGTCCACGGCAACCAACTCACCGATAAGCCCCGGGGTCATAAGCCGTCTGCTCCGCAGGATAGCCATACTCCGGGCGCCCAACACCACTGAACCGAACCCGCGGCCCACCCCGCTGACTTCTCGCCGGCGCAGTCTCCGAGAACTCTTGCGCCTCGCCCGCATGGTAATGCTCTGCTGACGCATTCAGCCCGTACACAGGGGGCGGTACCCGGTACGCGGGGTGATTCGCATAATCCGGACCCGGGATATCGGAGATTCCGTGACGATCTGCGTAGGGGCTGTCATGGAGTTGATGCTGAGCCTGGAGCGGGTACCGCTCGTCGTCGAGTGGGACACTGACGTTGGTGTCTGCCATGGCGCTATTGTTGCGCTCGTGCAGCTTGATGTCTGGGTTGCTGGTCATGGGGTCGTATTCGCCTAGTCGGGTCTGACGCTTGTGGATGATGATGTCGAGCGCGACGGCGGCGATGGCGGCAAATGTGCTGGTGCAGGTGAAGGTGAAGAGAGCCTTGTAGGTGCGGCAGACGGTGATGCCGGTGGAGGTGGCCCAGTAGGTTGCGTTGCAGGTGGTGAGGATGGTGTGGGACATGCTCCAGCTCAGGAGGCCAAGGGAGATGAGCCAAAGGATGAGGAGGATGGTGTTGGAGAGGAGGGAGAGGCGCGGCGAGAGGCCATAGAAGCAGTGGGTGAGGCTGGTGAAGACGTAATTGAGGATAGAGAGGAATGCGGAGACGACGAGCTAGATGACAATGAGGTTGGCTTTGAGGTGGTTTGCAAGGCACAGAGCAAAGTACTTACCAGTAAGAAGGCCCAAGGAAGTTTGTATCCGCCGCTTTTGAGATGATAGATAAACACAGCGAGGATGACGCCGACGATTACTGAGGAGAGGAGGGAAATTGCACGGATGGTATGAAATGGTACAGGAGGGTAGAGAGACGGCTTTACAGATTTAGAACGCATCTCTGAGGTTGTGGATGGAAGCGCTGGGGTCTTTGACAAAGCCCAGTCACTTCAGCATCAATTGTCGAGTATGAAATAGTCTCTGCAGAGGATGCCTGTGGAGAAGTACGTATACCAATGATTCGAGGCTACCCCGAGATAAACAAATATGAGATTGCCGTAACAGACATCGACTGACCACAATGCAGGTTTCGTAAAATTTTCTGGGCCAGCCAGAGAGGTGAAATATGGTCTTTAAGCAGATTCCAGCTGAACGAGAAAGCTGCGTCTCCCCCAAGCTCGATGCAATGCAATGCCCCCCTTGGCGATGATCCACTGCGGGTGTTGCTAAAGAAAGAAAACACGCTAAACTAAACGTTATCGATAAACAATCGTCGTCAGGACAGTCGAGGTAGTTAGTCTAGACTGGACTGAACATTCTTTCATGTCACGCAAATGCCCCCTGGGAGCCGGTTCTTACTTGGCAGACATTCTGAGAAAGCCAGTTTTAACAATTTTCTCTCTGGATCTGATGAACCAGAGCGACGAGAGCGTTGATCGTTACCTCAGTTTCCTCCGCTTCTTGTGGCGTGTTTCAAGCTAAATGATCTGCTTGTGACACTCCACGAGGACGCGGCACAGCTCCATTTATCAAGCAATCCCCGTGGAGCATCAATCGCCTTTTGTGGATAGTATCGAGAATATCGACTTCAGTCTTTCTTCTTCTCACATTCTTCTCAGCTTTGACTTAAGTTTGCCAGAAACGTCATAAATCGCTGCTGGAGATTATCCCGAAACTTTACCCCGCCTGGTGACCAACAGCGCGTATAGCAAGCGAAGCTTACAGATTAGAAATCAACCGGCATGGTGTAATATCTTCTTTGACTGACGCTACTCGGCTTGGTGCTTGAGGTATAATATGCCGGCGCTCTAGTTGCCATCTCTTTCGGGATGCCTCGATTGCACGTCGCTTGAGATTCTGATCTGTACCCATTGCACCAAAGATGGCTACCATCCTTGCTGGGTCACTTCCCTGGCATGATGGCGAGAGGAAGATGCAGAATCTGCTCAAAGTTCCGTTTGCACCCAATCCAACTGTGCCTTATCTCTATCCTGGAGCCGCATTCCTGGTACAGAGGTCTCCTTTAATGGCCTTGGGCACAATAGATGAGGAAGGCCGACCATGGGCGACTGTGTGGGGAGGAGAGCCTGGCTTTGCCGCCCCTGCTTCGCAGTCTACTGTCGATATTAAAACTCCAGTAGATAGTCGATATGATCCTGTCGCAGAGTTGCTACTAAGAGCCTCCACGAATGAGGACAATGTTCCCGCAGGGACCGCTGGCCAGCCTGTCGCCGGGTTGGCGATCGATCTGGAGACTCGTAAAAGGGTGAAACTTCATGGAAGGAAGATTGCTGGATCACTGGACGCTGATAGCCATGAATCGGGTCAAGATTGCCAAGGTCAAAGCGAAAGAGGAATGGCGCACCTCTCTCTGTTCATCCAGGGGTGTCTCGGTAGGGTTTCGATCGTATCTATTGTTCTATGAGACGTCTTTGCTAAATACGGACAGGCAACTGTCCCAAATACCTGAATAAGAAGAAGATAATCCCAGCTCTACCTGATCCGAAACTGATTTCTGACACTCCCCAGCTACCACCAGCTGCAGTTGAATTACTCAACCGAGTAGATTGCATGTTTGTCGCCTCGACTCATGGTACTGAAGACATGGACACCAATTTCCGCGGCGGGCCTCCAGGCTTTGTACGACTAATGAGCAACGGACCTAATGGTTCTGTTTTCGTATATCCTGAATATTCTGGCAATAGATTATACCAGACTCTGGGTAACTTTCAGACGACTCCTCTCGCAGGATACGTTTTCCCAGACTTTGACACAGGAAACGCGCTCTATGTCACAGGGACCCCTGAGATCTTGATTAGCAAAGATGCGGCTGATCTGCTTCCACGATCAAACCTAACTGTCAAAGTGACAGTCACGTCCGCTCGCTTCGTCGAGAAGTCACTCGGCTTCAGAGGAATTGCGGGCCCGCCCTCTCCATACACCCCAAGTGTACGTTACCTGGCCACAGAAAGGGTCAATCGGGTCGCTCAGTTTAGTGACGATGTCTCTGTTACGGCTACCATGATTGCAAAAACGATCCTTACTCCAAGCATCGCTCGTTTCCGCTTTCGAATTTCAGATCCATCCAAAATCGGGACCTGGGCTCCTGGCCAGTACGCCACCTTCTCGTTTCAGGAGGAGTTGGACCTGGGCTACTGCCATATGCTCGATGACGCTGAATGATGACTATGTCAGGACATTCACTATTTCATCGTATCCAGGGCATGGACTGCCAGCGGATGAATTTGAAATCACTGTTCGCAAGCACGGCAACGTAACCAGCCACCTCTTCAGGACCAACGAACGCGCCGGTTTAGAGGTCCCTCTCAAAGGTTTCGGTGGCGAGTTTAGGCTGGACGATCAAGGAAGTGACTGCACAATTCCAGTTATAATGGGCGGAATTGGTATCACCCCGGCCATTGCACAACTGCCAGGCATCAATGTTTCTCGCCTACACCTGTGGACCATTTCTATGACTGATGTGGGCCTTGTCTTCGACACATTCCAGCGCTTCCCTCAACTGCCAGGCTCAACCACTCTATTTCTCACAGGACCTAAGCCAAAGGACGAGCAAGGATCGCAGCAACTTGATGCCGTTATATTATCCGGGGCGAGGATTGAGTACCGCAGGATGGAAGCGCGAGACTTGGATACGTCCTTGGGAGATACCTGGTATTTCTGTGGGAGTCCTTCACTCAAGGTGTCTGTCATGACATTGGCTGGCAGGGAAGCGAGTTATCTATGAGGATTTCACCTACTAGGTGTTCTGTGGTTCACAACGTTCCTCTGGTGATTAGGACTTGAGACTCTCATATCAACAATGCATTTCGTATATACTCGTCAAATAAATCACAACACGGTGTCACATACTGTGTAGAGCTGATGCCTCAGGATCCTATTTCATAGGTATATAGAGCCTGAGGCACAAACTATCAGCCTGGACGCGTATCGATTTGTTGCCTCCGCATCGGCCAAGATAGATAACCAGAGCTCCCCTCCAAACTCCGCAAGCTTCTTCCTCGTCTTCCTTGCACTGTCCACAATCAAGAACGATACTCACTCCGATTATCTATTCTCCCTATATAAAGAAGTCGACTGACACAGGAGGAAACCACATACCCACCCCCACACTCAAGTCAATCGGGTCACCCATTTCAACCCATCACTCGCCGTGAGTGAGTGAAATCACCCAAAAATGTCCACTTATGAAGGTACATACCACTTCCCCCACGCAAATCCACACAGTAAACATGCTAAGACACTTAACTTTTAGTTGAACACAACACAACCGACCCCTCCATCCCGCAACAGCCCACCCGCCGCCGTCGCCCCGACCTCTCAACCTTCTTTTCGACCCTCTCCCAAATCAGCCCCGATGAGCACCGCTCCAGACCGCATGCCGTCCCTGTTCCGCGCGACGTAAGCGCCGCGTTCTATTCTCTCGCTGAGGCGTTGGAGGTTATGCGACGGGAGTCGGAGGGTGGGGGTGCAAGTGCAGGTTCTCGCGAGGGCGGCGACGGCGATGGCGATGGCGACGATCTCCTGTCGCAGATGATTCAGACGTTGTTGCGGGAGGCGGATACGCCGCCTAAGGAGGTGGAGGGTGTGAGTGAGGAGTTTTGCGACGGTAGGTCTTTGAGATGTGTCATGAGGGCGAGCTTGGAGCGCGAACTGACTATAGGTGTAGTGCTCGACCGGGTGCCGCGTACGTCGTTGAAGGAGACGCAGACTTGCCCGATTTGCAATAACCCGTTCCTGGAGGATGAGTATCCGCTCGTTGTGCGGCTGCCGTGTCATTCTACGCATTTGTTTGATTTGGAGTGTATCCGGCCCTGGTTGCGGTTGCGGGGGACGTGTCCGCTTGATCGGACGGATTTTGCCAAACAAGAGCGCGAGAAGGCAGAGGCGCGTAGGAAGAAACCTGTCGAGGATGACGAGGAGGAGTGGGATGGTATGTATGGCTAGTCATGATTCATACTGTTCATTATTGTATTCATATGCCATGTCATTCCTGCGTGGGGGAGTATCTTCTCTAGTATATTGTCTATCACTCATAACAATGTATCTATCCCGTCCTACTTTTTCTCTGAAGGCTGGCCCTCCTTGGGTCGAATGGCCAACTTGCCCGTCTTATCAATCACGGCCTCAAAGCCACTTCTCTCCAACAGCCCATTCTCATCCCTGACGACCTCCCGAGCTTCGAGCGCTTCAACCAGCTTCTGGTTCTCCCGATTCCCTTCGAGCAGGAACTTGAGACACATAACAGCGTGTTCCTTGATGTAAGGGTTGTGAGCATCAAAATTGGTACAAGACAAGATAGTCTCGACACCGCCGTATCGGCGAATCTGATCCTGGACCTCGGGACACTTCCAAACCAGAGACGACAGAACGAGCACGACGAGTTTCTTGAGATTTCTCCACTCAAATTCAGAGGGATCCTCAGTGATAGGGGGCGATTCGGCCCTGGACCCGGTGCTGCCACCGCCGTTTTCCGCCGGGTCAGGGTCACCAGGGTCATATGGTCTCTCAACAGCCACAGGTCCTGCAGCTGCGCCTTGCTGATGGGCTTCTTTGGAAGGGCTGTTACGGCCAAGAGACAGCGAACTCAGTTGGCCCTTGGGGATACTGGCTTCGAGTTCCTTGATCAGCGTCACCAGATCATAAACAATCTCCCACTTGACAAGCAGGTTCTTCCAGTCGTTATTTTCTGTAAGCACAGCAAAGAACTCCAAAAACTGGTAAACACCCTCGTAGACTCGTTCCATGTCCCACAGATTCAGTGGGAAATCTTCTGGCAGGGCACGTCCGGCCCTGATCTGTCCTTGAAGGTATATTAAGGCGCAGGTTTCGGGGATGATATTCCCACGGAAGATAGTGAAAATGTAGCGGACCGTGAGGATATCGACCCTAGAAAGAGGCGCCGGGTTCTTCGTGGCGCTCTGCTGGGCTGCGCCTGTAACCGAGGCAGGAGAGTACTTTGCTCTGAAAATGTGTGTCAAGATCTTGACCACGACGGCCTGCGCAGGAGAGATGATGTCCTTTGGCTGCCCGAAGTCAGAGTAGGCGTGAGACATCAGCCCGTTCTTCAGAACTGCATCCATAATCTGTACCATCATCTTGAAATATAGCTCATCATCAGGGAGGTCCCAGGCTGCGATGAAGATCAATAACTCCCGCAATAGATTTCGACCAGTTTCCTGGGTGAGAAGGATGTGGCATCTGAGAGCTTGCATGTTTCTCGAACCTGTGCGCTCGCCACCCTTGAGTCCGAAGCTGTCCACAATACCGGCCTGAATGATCATGGGAAGAGCTTCAATTTCCGCGGGCCCTAGAACAAGAGGGATGTCGGTCAGCAGGCCACGCTGCTGATCGCCAGGTCGACCTCGGTAGTCTTCATCGTCCTCGTCGTCTTCTTCCTCCTCCTCTTCCATGCTTCCGTCAGCAACAGCTTCCAGGCTGTGCGAATCGTCGTCGCCAACTGTCCCTGCATCGCCAGCATCATAATCTTGGTCGCCATGATCAGCAATCTGGGATGATTCCTGCAGTCGAGCCATCAACTCATCCTTGGCTTCTTGCAAGGTCTCGGCCGCAGATTGAGCAGATCGGGGCATGCTTGTGTCTTCCTCCGTTATTGGTGCATCGCCTGCTGCCAGTGCGCCGTATTCGTTGAGGTCGGGTAAGTCAGCCCAGCAAATGCGAGGAAAACCGGCGGTTTGGCTGCGGTCTATCGTCAGGATTGCCTTTTTTCTCGGCGGCTCGTCCTCTGGGAGTGCAGGTGGAAGGTCTCTGGCTCTATCCTGGAGATCTGACCAACCATCCACCTTGGCTCCAAGAATAGCAGTCAAGGCGGCTCGAATCTCCTTCACCTGCTCCGGGTCCTTGCCCATTTCTTGAATGGCCGTAAGATCTCGCCCAAGAAGTTTCTCCATGTGGTCTTTGATGTTGGCGAGGAGTAGCATGGCTGCTTCTTCTTTGATTGTCGCGGGCTCCCGTGGGAAATTCGAGATGGTTTCCAGTAACAAATCTTCCGCGGTCTGATCGTATAGAGCCCTGATCGGGGGGTTGACAATCCTCTCCCCAATCTTGACGATTGGTGCCACCCCCTCAGCCTGAGCGTTAGCCTGATCAAGCGGCTCTCTAGGTTGAATGATATTGGAGTCGCCAGTCGAATGGTAGCCGAACAGATCTAACCACAAGACCATCTTCCGCTGCTCATTATGCATGATAAAATTGTGCAGGAATTGAAGACATGTGATCAATAATCGCTTATATAGATTGACCACTTTCTGCCAGCGCTCCTCGTTTCTCGCATTTGTCTCTCCGTCAAACCCTCGCGCTGTGACTCTCACACAAGTATCTACCAGTGCCAAAATCCTCTGATCAAAACCTTTCTCCGCCGCAATATTCTGCGCTTTCTTCGTTGTGGCGAGAAGGTTCCGAGCTATAGTGCACAGGTCGTTCAAGCGCTCGATGTCTTTGACGAGGGAGAAGTAGTTGTATGCAATGAGATTTGAGGATGAGTGTTCGTAGTTCGCGGACGGAGGGCTCTTCCAAGCAAATGATTGTGATTCCAGAACCGGTATCGCCTTCGTCAGTACATCCGTAAAGCCTTGCCAAATGTCCGGCGATAAGCCCAAATTGTGTCTGTTGTAAGTGAAGCAGTCAGATAACGTTTCGCAGTCCGAGATGACCAAACAAATCATACCTGACGTCGCTCTCCTGATGTGTTTTGTAAAGGATCTGTTTCCCAGCAGATAGCATATGCTCCAAGCGTTTATCGTCAATCATCCCACGAGTCTCATAGTGGCTCAAAGTTCCAGTCAGGATGACCTTCAACATGAGCTCAGCTGGGGTGCATTTTGGTTTAGTTTCTGACGCTGGTCGGTCTGCCATCTCGACGGTTGCCCGCAGTTATCAGGCGAGAATGGACTGGACTGACGTGAGATTAATGCCAGAAACTACTGCCAAATCAACGTAGTAGAGTGTTGATGGCGACGATAATGGGGAAGAAGAAATAGTGACAGAAGGCAATTTTTCCGGTTCCGCCGATCAAGTGTCCCGCCTACCCTTTTTTGGTAAGCCCACATGAGAGCGTATATTCTATACAAGAATGGGCTGATAGCCTTATAAACGATCATTTTATCATTTTATGAGTATGTACGAGATCTAAAGTGATCACCGTACGCGGCGTCTAATAGGCATATGGAAAATCTCCCGTAGATTGTCCCAAAATCCCAAGTCATAGATATTGTCAATCTCCCGCATACTGTTCACTTCAATCCATCTTGTGTCAACTGGCGCCTGCGGATCATCTTTATGAAGAATTTCATTCGACCGTGAGCACAGCTGGAAGCCCTCCTTGGGGGGCTCGCCGTCCGTGATTACTAGGATTTGGTCACTGCTCACTGGCCAGGTTCTTTGGGCCGGAGTGCCCTCATCAGAGTGGAATTGGTTCCCATAAATCTCGCTTCTGGTGGATTTAAATACCAGGCCATCTGCAACATCCTCTTTCCAGTCTGACCATTTTGCGCTCTCATTTGTGGTCATGCCAGCCCAGATGAGGTAGGTGTGATAGAGTAGAAAGGCCATAGCCAATGGTGCTGTCATGGCTGTTAGCATGGCGACAGCACCAACACGAATATCAGAAGCAATAGCTATCGCCCAGACATTGAGCCAGGTTGTCCAATCTTGTGATTTCGATCGTAAGGGTGAGCTCGATGGTATGAGTCCCTCCAGTGTTTGCGACACAAGAGAGAAGCCAAGGCATGACCCGTATGCCAACATCACCGATAAAGATAGTAACAAAGATAAGAAGTAATGGTAGTTGTTCCGACCAACGCAGTTGGTCAGCCATACACAGTGATGATCGTGCCGCGAAACACAGGCTTTGCAGAAACTGCAGTGCTTACTTCGCGCCGGTTTCAGGAAATCACACGTACGGCAAGGATGACCTGGTTTAAAAATCACTCGATCATATGGATACCGTGCCATCTCATCCTCGTGGTTTTCGAGAGTGATGTACGACTTGGTGACAACGCTAGCGTACAGAAAGACGTATGGAAGAAGCGTGAGGGCTGGAATGCAGAGCCGATGAAATGTTGAGATTCTTGGCCACGCGCTCGGAATAAACATGCATTCTCCCGCTATGAGGAGGGAAAGGAAGAAGATCTGCGATGAGTTAATCGATGAGAAGAAAGGGTGTCTGCAACAGCTAAAAACTTACAAGTACGAGCGGATGGTTCTCGTGCAATACATAAGTACCGGTCCGGTTCCAGCAGTACGACAGTCTGCTCCCCAGTAGATGAGAATCCAAATATAATAGCACATTAGGAATGTGTATACAAATGATCCTATGGAGTAATCCAATGGGGGTTTTCCTACCGGCACTACTCGTCAGCGGTGGCCAGTACAAATAATTTTCCTCTCACCTAAGAGCAGGAAGCCTTCCGAACAGGGCCACAAAAGTAAATGCAGAGACTCCAAGAATGGCGATAGCCACCGTCCTCAGGAGCCCCATGATGACCTAGATCGTCACGGGTCTTGGTAGTGATCTCCCGCGTTGTCAGTCTAGCAGCATGCCCGACTGAACTGCCTGCAGGTTGGATGACTATCAGAGGTATAGTCTATATTGCTGTTTCACTCCAGTTTTAGAAGATCTGGCGGTTGACTTTTCTCTGCCTGCAAAAAGCACTTTAATGACTTCGCCAAGTCATTGTTACCACCCAATGCACGTGACTTCCACTACCCGAAGAGGAATGAAGAAGTGTTGTCATGATCGTGGGCTGCCGTGAATGATACAATCTGATGGAAGCCGGTCTCTGATTTCTTCTTCGAAACCACTCCCTGAAACCAAAGTCAAGGTGCATGGACGCAGCGTCCTTACAGCACCAAGAATTAAACTTTCGACGCGCGAACACGTGATTACGTGTTGTGTAAAATAGCCCGCGTCGACAACTGAGGGAGGAAGAGGGAAGGAATCCATTTAACTATCTTTCGAAGGCAGATGGACTAGATTAACCATGACAGGAGGTAATGTGGAGGGAGATGATGGCGGCGGGAACAGTAATGGCAGCCTTCTCTTCGATGGGAAACAGTTCTGGTTGTCTCACAACATTCCTCAAAGAAGCAGATTCAAAGAGTTGATTGAGGTATGTTTCTATGTGTTTGTGCTCTTCTACTCTAAGCTGACAGTACTTTAGACAAATGGCGGTATTGTAAGGCTTCAAGAGAAAGATGCAGATATCAAATTGGTAGATCATACAAGGAAGAATCTTCCATCTGACACGTATGTTTTAACATTTGTCCGTTGTTCTTATGAAAGTAAGCTGAAAACTTCAGATACTCCTTTAAATTCGTGGAAGACTCTGTCCGGAGAGGAGAACTGGCAGACCTGGAAGCTTACAGAGCTGGACCTTCCGCACCCCGACCTGTGGGAGCAACACACATCTCAACTAGAGCTCACAAGATCGCATACTCACTACAAGATGACCAACTGCTATGGGACTGGGTGCAACCGTATGAGAAAGACCCAAGAGCCCCAATCAGCGGAAACCTAATTTACAAACAATTAGCGGAGAAGGTAGGTCCATACCTCCCTCGGCTTGTCCTTTGCGTATTTTACTTCGTTATTCGCTTACGGCTTCTTGCCACTCTCAGCATCCGCGACATACTTGGCAATCTTACCGTGATCGGTATTTGAAGAGACTTCGTGGAAAGTCACGTCCGGGGGGCGAGTCAGCGTCCACAGGTCAGGCTCCCGCTCAGACGGAGAGCACTATGAGACAGTCCCAGGTCCCTAGCACTGCCCCGACAAAGTCGCGTGAGAGATGTGAGAATGCTCCCGAGACTACGGAGAAGGTAGAAGCCAGGAAAAGGAAAAGAAGTCCTGAGGTCGGCGAACCAGACCGGACCGAAGGTCAACGAACAGATGATCGACCGAAGAAAAGGCCAACACCGGCAACTCTACCTGAGAAGAGCACCTCTACTGCTCGTCATAGGGTACATGAGGAGCATCCCACTCATACCGAGCCAACGGTAACTACAGCTTCGAAACGTACGGATCGACAAAGGAAGGACGAACCAAAACCAAAAGATAAAGGAGGTGCCACCGTGGTACAATCCCACAAAACTCGACAGCCAAGCGAAAACCCAGATAGCGTCCCTGACAATTTCCTCTTTGAACTGCCGTTCTTTCCCTCAAGTCCGGAGTCTCAAGAAGAGCCTCCTCAAGAGCAAGACATCGACACATGGATCGAGGACCGTCTGCGAACAGGCAAGGCAGATAACGAGGAACAAGTGATTGAGGCTCTACAGTGCACCAGCATGGACCCACGCTTAGCCGACAAGGTCCTAGAATACCTTGCTGCAGGAAAAGGCATTCCTGAGGATATGCCTGGAGTTTGGACACCCGAAGATGATGAATGCGTGGAAGTGGGCAACAGCCGAGCCATCGAACGAGTCTTGAAGAAGCATGGATCAGAAGCCTTCGAAGCACGGTGGAATTATCTTAGCATGGCCAGGGCCGCAGGCCTTTCTGGAGGCATGGGCGATTGATAGTCACCTTTGTGAAATGTTTTCAAACGACAAGCGGGATGTACGATAGGAAAGGCTGCAATTGTGCAGGCGAGAGATGATAAGATTGTCGCACGAATTACGAACTAATTTGACTAATAATGGACGGAACGAGCAGCATGAGTGGGAAGCTTATAGGCCCCTCGCTTCCACTATAGTCTCCTGGCTTTGTCCTTTTCATGACGAGAGTATTGCTAAATTGCGCGATCACATCCAAGGGGAATATATCTTACAAATCAAAAAACCATAGCTGAAGCCAGTGACTCCATATTCAACCCGTGATGCGCTGTGATCGTTTTACATTATGTCTCAAAAGAACGCTTCTCAATGAAACATCGTTGGCCCATAAAACGAGAAAAAACAAACCCAGCCGGCGCCTTGTAAATCATGGAGCCGAAATTTCAAGCGTCTTTGAAGACCCTAAAGCAAAGTCAGAAGCTGATACCTATGGGGGAGCTAAGGAAAAATGACGCACAGATGTTGCTCGTAAAATTTGAGCATCTGTCTTATAGTTAGCGTACGCTCAAGGATTATCAGCCATCAAGCAGAACTTGCCTGTCTTGGGCATTTTTCGTAGCATGTTTCGATGGAGACCTTGGCTGTTTTGCCATTGGTCCATTTCAGAAATGCGATCAACGAGTTCGTCTTGGGGTCGCGAATGATGGTATCAACTTTCTCTACGTCTTTCTCCCAGCTCTTTGATCGAGGCACCCAATCGGGTACATCGCTTGCCTCTGGCATCTCTGTGCTGGTCTCTGCATTGGCCCTAGACTTCCTGCGTCGCTTAGGCTCTGCTGGGGTTTCAGACTCCGCCTTAACGCTTCCCATTGACTTTCGCTTTCGGACAGCAACTGGTTTCTCCGGCCGACCACCTTGAGCTCTGAAGTATTCATCTAAGATCTCCTTTGCGCCCTCCCTGGGGGCTGTGAGCACCAGATTCGAACACCGGAGGAAGTGGCGAGGAATATCTCACAGGAGGTTCTCTTCTGGCTCTAGTGTCTGATCTGCTGGGTCGTCGTAGCCATGCCACTTCACTTGAAGCATAAGTTTGCCCTACCTGCTGGTTAGCGCAGCGTCGCCAATTGCGCTGATTGAGGGCGCAAGGAAGCAGTGGACGGGGGAGCGATTGCGATGATCAATTACATACATCCTTTGTGAACTTATGACCCATGATCTTTTCAACAGTGTACCTGTCACATATGAGCATCGCGTTCCAGCTCGGCAAGTCGGTCGTTGCACCCACAGCCCCTCTTCCTCATTCTCGTCATCGTCCTCCTTTTCCTCCTTGGCGTCGCCAGCGATGTCCTTGTCATGTTCGACGTTGTTGTAAGGGATAGATCCGCCAGTGGACTCGTCGTCCGAGAGATCCCCAACGGGGGCTACAGGCAAGGTCAGCTGGACATGACGCGCACAAGTCAACCCATCACTCACGAGGCATTGTCCTAAACGGATTGGCTAGGCTGAAAAGTTTGGAAAACGTTTTGGCGACGGTGGGCAACCTCCACCCCAAGGATAGGATTGATGGGCGACAATGACGGGATGCGACCAGATTTAGCTTAATGGAGGTGAGTTGGGGTTCGAGATGCTCTTCGGGCTCTTTGCGAAATGACGAGTCGCGCAAAGACGCGTGGGTGAACTAAACACGCTATACCGGATATGGAAAGCAGCTCACTAGCCCGACTGGGACATCTCCAGAAATTCTAAAAGTGCCCTCAATATCAGTGATCCCGGTTGTGTCCAGATCGTTGAACCTCCCCCTTCCTCATCGTTGCTTGTTCCAGGGACATCTTTTGGAAATTATCTCACCTTGGTCTCAGGGTGTTCTTGTTGAAACTATAAGCTGCAAAATCCTGCCGACTGGCAGACCGTCAAAATGGCGATGCGTATGTTTCTGATACCCCTCACCGAGAATCGCTCCATGTACTGACTCTGGCTGCCTTGGTCTAGAACTCGATTTGTCTCAAGGTTGATTTCACCTCTGCTTCTGGCTTCCTTACGATCCGGATTGTGACTAACAACTACAATAGCTTCTGTTATGAAAGATGAACAAGGTCGGCCGTTCATCGTTGTCCGAGAGTATGTTGCGGGAGCCCCCTACCATGGCTATCTTGACTTCTGTGGAATATGAATAATGGCGACCAGACACTGATACACATCTACTTGCATAGTCAGGGAAAGAAAAAGAGACAGCACGGCAACGAGGCCGTGAAATCACACATTGTCGCTGCCAAGACCGTCGCCAACATCGTGAAGACTTCTTTGGTATGGTCCGGAGGTTTTAAGAAAATTGGAACGGCATCTAAGAACTATTATAGGGTCCTCGCGGTCTGGACAAGATTCTGATCTCTCCAGATGGTGATATCACCGTTACCAACGATGGCGCAACTATTCTCTCCCAGGTCCGTTCTTCAACCGCCTCGGCGATCATCGATTCGGCGTGTCACTGACTTGCGGCTGTCCACAGATGGAAATCACAAACAATGTTGCCAAGCTCTTGGTAGAGCTCTCAAAGTCTCAGGATGAGGAGATCGGTGACGGTACAACCGGTGTTGTTGTCCTGGCGGCGGCTATGCTCGAGCAGGCGGCCGAGCTGATTGACAAGGGCATCCACCCCATCCGTATTGCAGACGGATATGATCAGGCTTGTGAGATTGCCGTTACTCAGCTCGACGAGATCAGCGACGAGATCCCTTTCACTAAAGACGATACCGAGAACCTACTCAAGGTTGCCAAGACCAGTCTTGGTAGCAAAATGTACAACCCGATTGACACCGCCTATTTACAATTGGATGATTGACAGCTGACTCTACTCTAGTGTCTCGAAATCCCACGACCAATTCGCCAAAATCGCCGTCGATGCGGTGCTTTCAGTTGCGGACCTCGAGCGCAAGGACGTCGATTTCGAACTGATTAAGGTAGACGGAAAGGTTGGCGGTGCTCTGGAGGACTCGCTCCTCGTCAAAGGTGTTATTGTGGATAAGGATTTCTCTCACCCCCAAATGCCCGACGAGGTTACAGACGCCAAGCTGGCGATCTTGACCTGCCCGTTCGAGCCTCCCAAGCCGAAGACGAAGCACAAGCTCGACATCACATCCGTCGAAGAGTTTAAGAAGCTGCAAGACTACGAACGCGAGAAGTTCACAGAGATGATCCAGCACTTGAAAGACTCAGGCGCCAATCTGGTGATCTGCCAGTGGGGTTTCGACGACGAGGCAAACCATCTTCTACTCCAGAACAAGCTTCCTGCCGTCCGGTGGGTCGGTGGTCCCGAAATTGAACTCATTGCCATTGCTACAAATGGACGGATTGTCCCGCGTTTCGAGGACCTGAGCGCGGAGAAACTGGGAACCGCAGGTCGCGTGCGGGAGATGACATTCGGTACCACCCGGGAAAAGATGCTTGTCATCGAAGAGTGTGCCAACAGCCGCGCCGTTACAATCTTCGTACGAGGAAGCAACAAGATGGTTCGTGGGGCTTGTGCAGTGTGGAAGACAGAGACATGGCTGACCTTTTCTCCTAGATCATTGATGAAGCCAAGCGCTCGTTACACGATGCTCTCTGTGTCGTCCGAAACCTCGTCAGAGATAACCGGGTTGTGTACGGTGGTGGTGCTGCTGAAATTGCTTGCTCCCTCGCCGTGGAGGAAGCTGCTGTGAAGGTGAGTAGTCTTGGAATCCATGTTTTATTACAGCAAACTGACTCATGGAATTTTAGAGCCCCGGCATTGAACAATACGCTATGCGTGCGTTTGCGGATGCGCTGGATGCCGTGCCCTTGGCATTGGCCGAGAATTCGGGTCTGAGCCCGATCGAGACACTTGCGGCGATCAAGTCGCGCCAGGTTAGGGAGAAGAACTCCCGGTTGGGTGTCGACTGCATGTTGACCGGCAACAACGGTATGTATTTGATATTTTCATTGGCAAGGAGGTCTATGCTTACATTTGCATAATAGATATGAAAGAGCACTTTGTTATTGATCCTCTGATCGGCAAGCGCCAGCAACTTTTGCTTGCTACTCAGCTCTGCCGCATGGTTCTTAAGGTACGAATTGGATCCAGGTGTAACTGCTGCATGTGCTCAGACTGACTGAGAACAGATCAACAACGTCATCATTGCTGGTGATGAAAGCCAGGAGTTTTAGATGTCTTGATATCAACTAGCATAATTGTCCCGGCTGGTCATGCTGGGGAGGTAGTGTACCTATGTGATTCTATGTCTAGTGTAGAACATGGCGGATGCATAGAGAAAAATGTCTAAACGAACGAAACTGACGACACTTATACCTAGCAATTTGTACAGTGGTATGCAGATGTCGATCGCATCTTGTGCCCTCATTATTGTAATAGCCATTGACTAGAGGCCAAGCGCAGCATGAATCACTCAGCCTTACAGCCAAGATCAGCGGTTGTATGATAGCGAGATCTCCTCACTATCTGAGGAGCTCACTCCGCATCTCAACTCTTGTCCGAGACGGCGGTGACAGTCATAGCCTGCTCGTAATAGCTCCACATAGGACATGTCACGTTGCCAGTCGTGGTTCCAGAACATGTGCGTAGAGACAGTATACCTATCATTCAATGGTCACAGTCTATGGATCAAACAAGCTTCGCATATTAAGCCTCGGAGTTAAGAGCTCGGGGGACTTTCGTCAAAGATGCGGTCTAGAAAGGAGGAAAGTCTGGATTGACTGGCTTGGAGGGAAGCAGGATCGTGGCTGGCTGGTTCCTTCTTAGATATCTCCCCGTCCCGCTGTGGTGTATTAGTGCCGGGAAAGATGAAGAGGAGGAAATAACAGGGATAAAGTCAATGATAGAATTCAGAACTCAGGAGAGACCCAGCCTCCGCGTTCTCAAAGCAGGCTGACAATAGTAGACTAGATAGCAACTGGCAAGAACTGGCTCTCCATCCTCCTCCATTTCTCCACATTTTACCTGATCATATTTGTGATTTTCACGTTCAACTTGACAGACTTTCAAACCACGT